TCGCGGAAAGCCTCATATGGCGTAGGCAGGGCCGGTTCTAGACATTTGGAGGCCCCCTACCCCCAATAAAAAGGACAAACAAATATGATTCCATATTTTTACTTCTATTGTATATTATTACTTCTATTCTATTAGTCTATCATGCTCATCAGCCTGAATTTCTTTGATCAAAAATACAGAAAAAAACTGTAATATTGTGAAATATTATTACAATTTAAAGTAATAGTAAAGTAAAAGTAATTTTTTCTATTTTAATTTACTTTAATATATAATCTATTTCTGTGTGATCAAAGCTGTATTTTCAGCATCTTTACTCCAGTCTTCAGTGTCACATGATCCTTCAGAAATCATTCTAATATGCTGATTTGTAAGAAACAGTTGTGCTGCTTAATATTTATTTTATAAAAGTATCTGTGATACGTTTTTCAGGATTTTTTTGATGATTAAAAAGTTGTTTGAAAAATAAAAAAAAATAGAAATCTTTTATCACAATATAAGTCTTTACTATCACTTTTTATCAATTTAACACATCCTTGCTCAATATTACTGTTTTTACTGTAGTAAACGTGCAATTTATTTGACTTCTATTGAGATATTGCCACTTTAAAATGCTATGGAGAGAGTCGAACATTATCTAAAAAAGGCACATAAACTAAAAAGAGGAGAAAACATAATCTTGCACCAGCACTAACATATATTAAACTTTTTAAACTACTTTAAACTATGACCACCTTTACTAAATGTATCACGTTTTATTGTGGCACATTTTGTTGAACTTGTTGTAAAATTTATAATAGATAATCAGTTAAGGGAATATATTTTTCCCTATAGATTTATATTACAGCTGTGGCTTGTTGCGCTATTGTTTCTAAATGTGCAGGCTTTTGTTTTTCCATAACAAATGCTATATATATTAATAAAAAAAAAAAGTCATTATTGGCCTGGTAATGAATAATAGGCTAGCCTTATTATAACAAATGCTGGTAAGAACTACATTTTCATAAGAGCAAGTACAAGTCAGAATCGAGTTCTGGGTTCTAATGATGAGTGATGGGAAAACCTGGCCTTCACATATTCCAAGAGATGGCATAGATTACATAATTAAGAGCCTGATGAACTGTTAAGGAGTAAGAAATAAACATTATCAATATAAGACAATGTTAAGTTAGATAGACTTCCCATGGCATTTTGAATTGGAGCATTCTTTCAAACTATAGCCTATAAGTGCCCTAAATAATATAAAATACATAATATAACTTATGTAAACAAATAATTGTTAACTAGGCTATTACTAGATTGCAGTTATGTTATCAACCAACTTTGCATGTGTGGATGATCACACAAAAGACCATTATACAAAAATGCAAACAAATAAATAAGCCTTATGAGGGAGCATGACCCGGTACTCCACTAAAACAGGTCACACTTCAATCCCGCCAGAAATGACGCTGATCGACAGCACAAGTTTATATTTAGAATACATTGCAATCACTCCAAAATAGATGATGAGAACTCACACACCTGCATTAGGAGCTGCACTTCTTTGCCTATTTAGCCTTTTGCTTCGCAGCAGCTGAAGGATGCGTTCGCTGCAGCAAACATCCGCTTTGAAGTGGCAATATTAATTGGTTTAATTGCAGGTGTGTGACAATTCAACTATATGCAATGAACAACGAGGATAGTATTTTGCTGCCTGTCTTGACTGGTAGACTATAGGAATGTTACGTTATGGAGGCCCCTCCTCGAAGCCCTATAATTGCCTGCTTTGCCTATATGTAGCGCCGGCCGTATAGGAAAAATGTGGACAGGGAAATAACTAGAAGAATATCAAAGTGCAGTAAACGGTAAAACTGTTTGAGCTACAAACCATGTGAGTTAATGATATTGACCGAGACAGCTCAACGCGCAGCAGCTAAAGAAAACACATGCAAATAGAAAAAGCACCGGCAAACAAGGAAAATATCTTCATCATTTTGACAACATGTGCTACAAATACTCAAAATAGCCTACAGAAACGCACTGCAAATACTGTAAATAGTTGTGAGCATTTGCATATAAGGAATATATTTTGGTGACACAACACACAGATAAAAAAAAAAGATATATGAATAAAACACACACACACACACACATATATATATATATATATATATATGTATATATATGTATTAGGGCTGTCAATAGATTCAAATTTTAAATCTAATTAATCACACCCTTTTTCTGTGATTAATCGCACACTTCATGAAATTAAGCATAGACCATTTATCTTGTATGTTGTTTATTTTGTCATCATTTGCTATATCCAGCAAAGTAAACCAAAAGATTGAAAGGTGATTGTCAAAAATCTTTATCAGAATTTTAAAGTATGTGTACAGTGCAACAGCAAAGAGCTTTTTACATTTTAGAGAAGTCAAGTTGCCATACCGAACAGGACCACATGGTGATGCCAAAAAAAACCTAAACCAAGCACCTGCTGACTGCATATATCTACTACATTACACGGATCCATTCAGAATAACTAAACACAGCAATATACACATGACAAATCAAAACATTATCGTTAATGTGTGTGGAAACAACGTGAATGTACGGAAATGTCTGTGCCTGTGCATAAATACAATGTGTGATCAGTGCGTCAAGAGCACTCATACACGCATTATTATAACGGACTCACGTGTGCTTACTGTACGACTCCTGTATTCTTCCCGAGTCACATTAAAGATTCATTCAAAATGAACGAATCGTTCAAGAACGACCCAACACTAAGTTATACACACATTATTATAACGGACTCACGCGTCTGTACTGTACGACTCCTGTACGCCACCGCAATCGTCTTTACCTTGATTGCAGTCTTCATCTATCAAAACATTACTAGCGAGACTGGTTATCCAGTCGAGAAACCATAGTTTGCATCTGGCCATTGTAACCTATTGTGCGTTATGGAAGAAAGAAACACACGATGCAGGTCACCATCAACCTATGTATTAATGTTAAAGGAAGGTGCAACCAAACGATAGAAAGTACAGTGTGTTTTTCCCCAGCATATACACATGAGTGCAGGGGCAGAGTCTTAAAGGGACAGACACCCAGACCGTTACAAGTGTACAATCATATCTAAAGGAATTCAAATGTTAGCCTATGTTAGTAACTCTCGTTTTTGGCAGAGGAAACCCCGAATCAGAGTCTTAAAGGGACAGACACCCAAACCATTACACCATACAGCGGTGGGATGTGTTGAGAATGCTTCACACAGCGCGTGTGACAATCACAGAATATGACAGAGCTCGTGTTTTAAAGCGAAACACACTGGAATGAATAATTCACTGAAAACGCAAAAAAAATTATGTACAGGTGTGCTATAGATAGAATAAGATGTAGGGATGGACTAAGATACAGGGTGGGATCAAATAAATATAAGTGGTCTGGCACATACTTTTATTGCACAATGGGGAGGAGAGCATTTAACTGTTCATGAGATTGCTTGTGGGGGAACAAACATTCCATATATATATATATTGGACTTCCAAAACAGGCAGAACACTCAGCAGACCGTCATCATGGACCCACTCAGCATACAGCCGGTGAGTCCCATGAATCTAGTCAATCTCAACAGTTTATACCAAGTGTAGAGGAACAAGCCGAAACTGATTGTCACACTAATCGATGGCACTACTGAATGAGCACTGTGCGATGTCCGAACTGATTGCACTATATTGTATGTATAATCGTTTTCTATTCTTAACTGTTTTAAATTTACTTTAAACCTCTTAAATCAATTTTTTAATCATTTTCAACGTTTTTAAATTCCTTGTTTTATTGTTGTGATTATTATTTTTTTCTTTTATGTAAAGCACTTTGAATTACCATTGTGTATGAAATGTGCTATATAAATAAACTTGCCTTGCCTTGCCTATATATATATATATATTCATCAAAGGTGTGATTTCTATTGTTTGTGTGTGTGTATGTGTTTACAGTATTGCAAAATATTTATATACTGTACAATAAACTGTTTTTTTGTAACTACATGCATTGGACACTGTGTTGTCCATTTTTTGATGTAGTGTCTAATGAATGATCTGTAGTGTGTACATTATTGACTAATGTGTGTATGATTTGGAAGCCATGTTTGATTTTGAGTGCAGTTGAAATGGTTTTGAAGCAATTGTTTGATTTTGCCAGAAGAGTCATGGGTTCTGTGAATTTAGTTTGAGTGTTTGGATTTATGTTTAAGGTTTTGAGAAAATGAGTGATGGTTTCAAGTAATTAATGTACAATACAAACGTTTATGTACAAAAATAATGTATTTACAAACGAAAAATAAAAGTTATAATAAGCTAATTATAAAGGAAACGTCGGTATGACAGCTTCTTTACATGCATTTTGACTGCTCTCAGCACCCGTACCGTAAGTGCACAATTACACGCGCAAGACAAAAAAAGCCTTCTTTTCGTAGCCTTCTGTTTATTATATTTTTCGCCTCAAGAGTTGTGTCCTTTTTTTCTGTTATTTAACGAAATAAATATCAGATAAAAAAGGAGTCCCAAAAACAGAAATGTCTGATCATCGTCCATATCGCTGTTTACATTACACTTGCGTTACCAAGGCAACGACCGACGCATTTGTATTACATTCGAAAGAGCTCCGTTATCAGCACCACAGTGGAAAATGAAACCGTATCAATGCTGACTGGCACGGAATGAAACGGTTAAGCAAACAGAACCGTTCGGCCCGATAGTGGAAAAGCGGCTAATAATCCTCTCAGCAGTCCGAACCGTCGTTCTGATATCTGCAGCCTGCAGCCACCGTGCAATTATGATAATAATATGATAACAAACACCAGTTTGTAATCTCAAACAGCATAACGGACTGTTTTGTACTGGTAAAAATCAAACACTGCCAAAGGCGAATCAAACGCCGCGCTCGACTGTCAAGTAAACGCCGAGCTGTAATTCCACGCCAGGCCTGTAGAGGTCAGTAACGGCGCTCTCGCGAGATTTCTCCTGTCTCACGCACAAACCGAAGAAGACGTTTGATCAACAGTGAAGGGGGAATCGTCCTCGTTGATGCGATTGAACCGAATTAATTCTCAAACAGAGATGGTGCTGTCGTCTTCACAGCAGCTCGTCATGGCGTTCACCGCGGTGCTGCTGGTGTTCGTGCTGTTCCCGCGCATGTTCGGCGGCGGCAGAGACGGTCAGTCGTTCGAGCCGCGGAACAGCAGGAGAGGTGCGGACCCGAGTGGACCAACCTCGGCTGTGTTTGTTTACGCTCTGTGTTTACCAGTATATATTACAGCTTATTATTACGTTTTTTCAGGATTATTGTGGTTCTTTGATGTGTTTTTGTCATTGTGTTTGTTTGTCATTTCATATAGCTATTACATACATCATTTTCATGTTCAAAATTATTTTAGTAGAAGTGCAGATCAAGCTGTCATTGTTTTTAATCATAGTGATGAGCATTATAAACATTAGTACTGGAGTGAAATGTTTCTGCAGGTCTTAAATAGGTGCGGAAATTTTAAATTCGTATTCATGGCATTAAATAATGCATGCACTGTGAAAAATTAATATGTGACCCTGGACCTCAAAACCAGTCATGAGGGTAATTTTTTTTAATAATAAATAAGCTTTCCATTGATGTATGTTTTGTTAGGATAGGACAATATTTGGCCGAGATACAACTATTTGAAAATCTGGAATCTGAGGGTGCAAACAAATAAAAATACTGAGAAAATCGCCTTTAAAGTTGTGCAAATGAAGTTCTTAGCAATGCATATTACTAATCAAAAATTAAGTTTTATTGCTACAAATATACCCCAGCGACTTAAGTCTGCTTTTGTGCTCCAGAGTCACATATTTTAACTCTGTATTTTTGTCGTTTTCCAGTTCAGATATCTAAATATACTTAAATCAAGAAGAAACATTTACTTGAGATGCAAAATTAAGATTTGAAGTCTTGTTTTATGAGAACCTTGAAAAAAAAAAAGCGTTCCCTTCCGTTTATTCCTTAAGTTTACTGAAGTCTTAAATGTACCTTCATAAAAGCTGCAGAAACCCTGGATGTGTGTGTGAAGGATGATGAGTCTGTGTGGTTCTGCAGGTCCTGGTCCCGGTGGTAGTGTGAAAAGTCAGCAGAAGTTTCACAGGAACGCGGCTCCTCAGATGTCTCAGAGCGTGGAGAACATGCAGCAGATGAAGAAACTCATGGAGCAGGAGCTGAAGAGTGACAAATCCAAACCCAACAACAATAAGGGCTACGTCTTCACCCTCATGCCCATCTACGCCATCAGTGTCGGGCTCTTCGCCGCGTATAAGTTTCTAAAGGTGCTGACTTTTGTTGTTATACATTGGAAAATGTTTGGTGAAGAAACAATTTTCACTCAGAAATTGTTAGTAAATTTCACAAATAATTACAAAGAAAAGACAAGCAACATCTAATTAACTGAAATTTTGAAGTAGACAAATTAACTCCAGTAATTTTAGTTTTATTCTTAATTCTCAATAATTTTGTTTTGCAAATTTAAAAAAAAATATATATATATTTTTTTTTTTACAGTTTACATACTATTATTATTATTCTTTTAGAAAAAGCATATTGAATATGTGATAAATGTACAAATAATTACAAAGAAACAGCAGGCGTTAACATATTGAATTAAATATTAAATAAAAAAATGAGAAAGACTGAAATAGTATTTTCTTGTAAAATATAATCCAATAATCTGTTTTATTACTTCAAAAAAATTTTTTTTTACAATGTACATATTTTATTTTATTTTTTTAAAAAGCAAGTGAAGTAGTATGTAATATGCAATGATAAATGTTTGAAACATTATAAAAAAATAAAAATTGCTATTAAATTTCACAAATAATTACAAAGAAATAGCAAGTAACGCTTTTAATTAAACGTGAAATTTTGAAGACTGAAATAGTGTTTTCTTGTAAAACATACTCTAATAATCTTCGTAATAAATTTTTTTTTTTACAGTGTACAGTAATGATTTCCCCCCCTTAATAGTAATGATTTGGATGGGAAATGTACTTGATTGTGATAAAAATAACGGCACAATTCGTGAAAAAATTAATGGGCCTAAAAATACACTTCATTATACAGTGTAAAAAATGTTTTTTTCATAGTTGTAAATATATTATTACAGTGTATTTTACAAGAAAATACTATTTCAGTTTTTCTAAGTAAATTTTACGTTTAATTCAATGCATTATTTGCCGTTTCTTTGCAATTATTTGTGATATTTGCTATGAAAACGGTTTCAAAGCCTATTTTTTATAGGAGCCAAAACAAATTCTACTTTTGTGGTTTGCTGTTTGAGCTCCTTATATCTTTATTTTTGTGTTTGCAGATTAAATCGTCAAGCGATTCTGAAGCTCAAAAAGCCAAAACAGCTCGAGGAGTGAAGAAACCAGAGGAGACTGGTGTGTGTGTGTGTGTGTGTGTGTGTGCATGAATGAGGATGCTTAAAAGTGCTTTTTTAGAAACGCCAACATTTATTTATATATTCAGAAAGAGACTTCTCTGATGCATTTGTCATTTTCCACAGAGAGTCAGCTGAATGAGCTGGAGCAGAGACTGACTCAAACCGAGAAGATGCTCAACTCTATCCTGACCCAGCTGGACCCGCTTACCAACTGGTGAGAGCAGACATGCACATGACAATGAAAGCTTGAACACATGCAAACCTCTTTGTTTTAAATAAATGTGGTTTATTGAGTCGTGCAACAATGCACTTGGTTAAAGCGCATTCATAGCCTGATATTTTTGGTTATGCAGAAAGAGGCATTGAAATACACGCTGGTGGCCAGTGGCTTGTTGGCTTTCAGCGTGTGGGTTTGTTGTTTTGCCTGCTGTTTATTCTGGGTGTTGTTCTGCAGTGTGAAGTCTGTTGCCATGGAGCAGAAGAACGAGATCATGTCGCAGCTGCAGTGCATTCGGCAGCTAATGAAGAAGAGAGGCATGGAGTGTCCAAACATCAGGATAGAAGGTAAACACAATTAACACAGTACTGCGCAAGCACCTTACTCTCGCCGCTGGGCAATAACTACGACACCACCGCTCATAGTCATGGAAACAAGTGTCTCACACAGTTAAATGTATAAATCACAGGCTTATGAAAACATCCATTTGAGCCAAATGAGCTAAGATGAATTTAATGAATGAATGAACGTTTGCTTGCATTTTCACCTTATTTTGATGCCAATTAAATACGGTTTCCCTTACATTCTCAGCACCAAAATGCATTTGGAGTTTTTTTATTGGTTTTGATGCTTCTTATAACTAATATGTATATGTATACTAATATAATATATATACTACTAATATAATATTTTTTGTTAAAGTTTACAATTACTGTGGTATAATGCTTTTTAAATCATTGTGCAACTTTTATTTTTTATTGCCGTTTGAATTTTGTAGGTTTAAGTCATTTTTAAAAATGTAGAATTGCAACAAATGCTTAGATAATAAACTTACCTGTTATATATCCATTTTTATTATTTATCCATATTTATTTATTTTAAAGTTTATTTAAATCATTGATTTAATTAAAATCAGGCAATTCGGGAAATTAGGATAAATAATAAAAATTAATAAATAATAGATAATAAAAAAAAGATTTACATTATTTATATATATAACTTTTTTTTTTTAATGTAAATCTGTTTTTAATTTAAAATCAGCAATTAGGCAATTTAGAAGTACTTATCCATTTTATTATTGTTTTTTAAATTTGTTTTATTATTTAACTCTATAAATTAAACTCTTTAAATTAAAATAAAAAATTAGGCAATTTAGAAGTAAAACAAATCCTTAGATAATGTATCTATTTATTATTTATCCATTTTTATTATTAATTGATTTTTTTAATTTATCCATATTATTCTGTTTTTAATTTAATTTAAATTATATTCAGAAATTAAGCAATTTAGAAGTACAACAAATCCTTAGATAATAGATTTATTATTTATCTGTTTTTATTATTTATTTATATTTATGTATATTTATCCATTTAAATAATATGTCATTATTTTTTCGCATTACAGTACAGAGAATGACTCTGACTCTGACATTTTAATATATTAATGTTAATCCTAATTGAAGGCATATCGTTTGTATGTGAGTTTGCATTCATGTCAGTGAGTAAGTACTAGTTATGCTGCAGTAATGGAAGTTTTAGATTACACATAACTAATGCAGACGACCGCAGTCAGTAAAGCAGCTCACAGATCTTTGAAAATAATATATCATAAGCAAATTAGTGGGATAAGCAAAGTAGCACTGAATCGGCCAACATCAGGTAGGTCACGCTGCCATTTACTGTACGTCAGTGGAGTTGAGCAGTGATGTGGTAATAAATAATGCTAAATTTGTGAATATGTGCTTGTTGAAAAGTGATGCCAGAAAACATTTGGATGCCTAAGTGACACTTGCTTTAATATTTTATTTCATATGTAATGCTCTGACATTCACACATTTTTAAGTGACTGGATACGCTGTTGTATATGGCAAGCATGCGCTTTAGCATTGTGGCGTTGGGTGATGCAAATCACTTGGTTATTTCTTTTAGAGCCGACATGTGAACGCAATCTAGACAAACTCATCGAGACTTTGGCCGCAGCTGAAACGCTTCCAGAAACTCATCAGGAATCACAAACACACACTGAAATACAGCCACATGATCACCGAGAGCCCAGGCCTGAGTCTGAGGGAGAGGAAGAGCTGGAGGAGAACAAGCGCACGGCGGGAGAGGAAGACGTGGGAAGTGAGAGTGACTCTAGTATGCCGTCCCTCGAGGACTCGGCCGACATCAGTGGAGATGATGTTACAGTCGCTCAGAAACTTCCAGAAGATCTGACGGCTGGATTACGAAGACGCAACAGGCCTGAGTAACGCTGACGAGAATCGGACACAAATCTATTGATGTATTTATTTATTTTGTTAATTCTAATGAAGCGGTCAACACTACTCCTTGGTTTCGACGCCAGCGTCTGCATTTGAAGTTAACATGACATCAAAATCCAGCCCGTTTGCAATAAAAAAAATCCAAACTTGCTCTTATATTCACTTATATTTTATTTGATCAAAAATACAGTAAAAATAGTGAAATATTATTACAATTTAAAATAGCTGTTTTCCATGTGAATATACTGTAAAATGTAATTTATTCCTGTGATGCAAAGCTGAATTTTTAGCATCATTACTCCTTCAGTCTTCAGTTTCCTTGGTATTTTTGTGGAATGCATTTTTCAGGATTCTTTGATGAATAGAAAGTTCAATAGAACAGCGTTTATTTGAAATCTTTTGTAACATTATAAAACTCTTTACTGTCACTTTAGAACAATTTAATGCATCCTTGCTGAATAAAATTATTACTTTTTTTTTTTTTTTACTTTTGCATGGCAGCATATCACGGTTTTCACAAAAATATTAATCAGCAGAAATTCAGCTTTATTATCACAGTAATAAATTACATTTTAATATATATTCAAACTGAAAACCGTTATTTTAAATTCTAATAATATTTCACATTATTGCTGTTTTTACTGTATTTCTATATCAAATAATTAATCAGTGACATTATTCCAAAGAAGATGTAATAACTTGCGCCGCCTCCAAAACGATGTTCCTTTTCGCTGACACCATCGAGGCCAGCTGGGTGGGGAAAATAATATCCACAAATCCTTAGTCAGCCTTTCTGAAATCTTTACGACAATTAACAGAACTTTAATGAAGCTTAATGTAATGAAGGTTACAGCACTAATAGCAAATAATGATGTGTAAAAACATGTGACTTTATGGAAGTAAAATGGATGTGAATATCATTTCATATTGAGTTTTAAGCGTTCTCTGTATCTCTTTTAGTTTGAGTCAGTCATAATCAGTGTTGGGGGGGTAACGCATTATTACAAGTAACGCGAGTTACGTAATCAGATTACTTTTTTCAAGTAACTAGTAAAGTAACGCATTACTTTTTAATTTACAAGAGAATATCTGAGTTACTTTTTCAAATAAGTAACCAAGTTACATTTTTTTCCAATTTATTGATTGACAGCTCTCCTGTCCCCATGTTGAGAGAAATCTGAAGATGTTACTGTACTTCTAAAATAAATATGAATATGCATTAATTCATCTCACTCAAAAAAAAAAGCACAGATTCAGTATTCCTCTGTAATGCATTACTTTAAAAAGTAACTTTCCCCAACACTGGTCATAATCGCATGTATGTCAGTATGCATCATCTGCAGAAGTGGCTTTGGTGAGGCTACAGGAATGTTTTGCGGATCGTGTGTCATTTGCATGTTTGCCTGCGGAGGAGGTTTTACACAGCTGCATGATTCTGGTTTGACAATCACATGCTATGAAGCTTTCCAGATGTGAGGACCTCAAACGGGACGTTCTTAGAGAGGCGTTACAGCGTTGAGCTTTAGTTTTTAAAACATTTTTTGAGCTTGAATCGAATACCAAACACTAAATGTGAGAAGATGTTCATGCACGTTGCTGCTGTCTGTGCCACTTTTCAGATTTAATGTTTTTATAAATCTGCTTTTCAAAGCCTGATATAATATGATGTTTCATGTTACAGATTTTTGTTACCTCTTTCATGATACGTTTTCATTATTTGGCCAATCATATTTTGAGAATAATTAAAGAAAAAATAGTAGTGTCGATTCCTAAATCAAAACGTTCAGTAATATTTTTGGTGACTGTTTCAAACCAACAATTGCTGCTGTGTTTTGGGCATCATTTTAAAAACATGCAACTGGTCCTGTTAGAGAAATATTGTTGCATGTCCTTTGAATGATGTGATTTAGCATTGGAAGATGTGATTGGCATGGTCTATGCTTCCTGTGTTCATTGTTTTTGCCTTGTATGTGGTGTGCAGTTTAGATTAATATATTTATGAAAAACTGTTGAAAGCCTTAAATAAATTCCAAATACATTTACATGTTATTATTGCACTTCTGTGATTATTAGTCTCTAATTGATCAGTTTGTGCCCTTACTTTTGTATCGTTTAGATCTTCAGTGTTGTTAGACTCACCTGTGTCTCTTGTTAATGCAAATATCTAATCAGTCAATCAGGTCAGTGCATGAATGCAAAAGTGCATAAATCCAAACGAAAAAATGAACGTGTGCTTTGTGTCTGAACTGCTGATCTTCTGGGATCTTCAGAAGTCTCTGGAGTTTATAGCAGATGGTATGAGAAAACAGAGAGGTGTTGCATGGATGCACCACAGCAGCTGAGATCTTCTCATTACTGTCAGGTAAGAAGAGCAAGGCTGGAGAATGAGATGGTTCTGAATGCTGTTTCTAACCTTCTGCATCCCCTTAATGCAAAAGTTATATTGCACATATAATTGGCAACATTGGCTGGTTTCTATGCAATATCTGGCAGTCAAGGTGCACAAGTGATACTTACAAGTTGATAAAATGAGCACTTTAGAGAGAGACCAATTTCAGACTAGATTTGAGTAAGGTTTCTTCATCAAATCTGAGAAAGTTTAGCCACTTTCTCTGATTCCAGTTTGATTGATTTATTTATTGTGGTTTGAACTGTGACTGGCTGCTTTACATGTTGTTGAGACACTCTTTCCACCTTATTTGGTATAATAATGTAGGACTAACATTAGCATAAAAATGAGCCTAGCAAACTAAACGGTTTCCTAACACATACGACCACAAACTAGTCACCCAGAGTCCTGAAAAGTGTCATTTCTCCTGTGACCAACAGAGGACGCTACAGTGTAATGAACCAAATCTCTCAGTCCCTGAGCACTGTGCAATATTTCACTTGTTTAACGTTGTTTTTATTGGAGTCTGGCTGGAAGCATGAACATGACGTGTATTTCTCGTGAATTAATGACAGCTGGAGATAAATGCTGTGAGATTTCACCTTCCAGACTGAGTCCATTGGGGCCGGACGTCCCAGAATAATCTGCTCCCATCAATTAGAGCCACGTTCAGCTTTAATCAAGTGTGTTTACACCTAATGGGATGTGCTAACCACATTTGCCCTCGTACCTGGGCCTGTCTCTTTCTGGGAATAGACTTTTAATTAATATGAGAGCGGACAGGGGGTTTAATGAGACGCGAGATGGTTTTTCATTAAGATGTGATTGCTGCTAGAATTATTTCACTTCTCGGTGAATGGATCTCTGTTGGTTTTGCTTCAAGAGCCTGAATTTTGTGACCAAACACTATAGCAACGTTCTTTATTGTGCAAAGGTAAACACTGTTCTTTACCATGGTATTCCTCACTTGGGCGTCAGAGTCACACTTGTGTGGTCAAAACAGACCGAAGACAATTATAGTTAATTAAAACTAAAACTGGAGCCAAAATGAAAACCATATGAACATTTGTGACCCTGGAGCACAAAAGCAGCCTTAAGTCGCTGGGGTATATTTGTAGCAATAGCCAAAAATACATTGTATGGGTCAAAAATATAGATTTTTCTTTTATGCCAAAAATCATTAGGATATTAAGTAAAGATCATGTTCCATGAAGATATTTTGTAAATTTCCTACCGTAAATATATCAAAACTTAATTTTTGATTAGTAATATGCATTGCTAAGATCTTCATTTGAACAACTTTAAAGATGATTTTCTCAATATTTAGATTTTTTTGCACCCTCAGATTCCAGATTTTCAAATAGTTGTATCTCAGCCAAATATTGTCCTATCCTAACAAACCATACATCAATGGAAAGCTTATTTATTTGTACAAACCATACATCAATTGACCCTTATGACTGGTTTTGTGGTCCAGGGTCACATTTTCGTTACTTGAAATAAAGTAGACGGTAACTGAAGTAAAATAAATATAAAAAACTTTTTACTTCATTATTTTAATTTAGTTTAGCTTGGTGTACTAAAATAAATACAACTCAAATAAAAACTGAATAAAAAATAGATATTTATTTAAAATAAAAAGTACTAAAATGACAAAAAATTTCAACAATTAAAATGAAAACAAAGTATAAAAAAATATTCAAAATATTAATCAAGACTATAATAGTTTTTCAGTGATACAAAAATAACAACGAATACAAAAATCATAACTTTTTCTCTTTTTTAATGAAATGAGTGTATTATGTTGTTTCAGTAATATTTATTCTTTAATATTTTGTATTTTGAGGGTAAATTATGGTACTACACTATTCATTAAATTACACACCATTTATTTTTATATACAAATATTAGAAACAATACAAATATAAAAAGAAAATCATATTTTCAATCAATACAATTAAAATATTTCAATTATACACACATATGTATGTATATGCATTTCATATTTCAATTTCAAACATAATTACTTACTTTACATTTTGAATTTGAATATATATTTAGACATTATCAAAGACTTCATTGCGGCTGACTTGTATTTCGTATCCGCTAAAATTCTTCCGTACTCTGTTTTTATTTTTCATTTTTTTCCATTCATTTCCTATGATGATCGTATTTGACCACGAAGATCACACGTTTGACTTTTTTTTTTAAAGACCATTTAAACTTTTCCAATCATGTTACAATTTGTATGTGTGTTTATATAAAGTGCTGCAAAAGTCAAAAGTTTCATACTATTCTGATGAAGTAAATATTGTAATATTTCAAAATGTAACATCTTTCAGTCTAGAGGGTTAAAATTTGCCTTCATCTTTGTTTTGTTCCTCCTGTCCAGAACTCATCAGAACAGACCTGCGACCCACCAGTTGAGATCCAGTGCTCAGAGTCTAAAATAACCACAGACAGTTGTGGGAGGATGAATTACATGACTAACCTACAGCTGAGTCAAGGTCAGTTTTGGATATGTGAGCTCTGTGCTTCCTGAACGCCAAAACCGTGTGGTGCATCAGTGACCAAAATATGCTTTATCTGTGGACGTCTGAAAAGAAAAGCAGTGCACTTTGGTGTCATTTCGCAGTGTTACTTTTGTAGACTGTAGAGTGAAACTCCAAGATGTAGTTGAGTTTGTTTCTTCATCAGATTTGGAGAAATGTAGCATTGCATCACTTACTCAGCAATGTATCCTCTGCAGTGAATGGGGTGAC